CCTGTAATCCCAGCACTTTGGGAGGCCAAGGCGGGTGGATCACGAGGTCAGGAGATTGAGACCATCCTGGCTAACACAGTGAAACCTCGTCTCTACTGAAAAATACAAAAAACTAGCCGGGCGCGGTGGTGGCCCCTGTAGTCCCAGCTACTCAGGAGGCTGAGGCAGGAGAATAGTGTGAACCCGGGAGGCGGAGCTTGCAGTGAGCCGAGATTGTGCCACTGCACTCCAGGCTGGGCGACAAGAGCAAGACTCCATCTCAAAAATAAAAAAATTTTAAAAAAGCTGATCGGGGCCGGGCGCGGTGGCTCAAGCCTGTAATCCCAGCACTTTGGGAGGCCGAGGCGGGTGGATCACGAGGTCAGGAGATCGAGACCATCCTGGCTAACACCGTGAAACCCCGTCTCTACTAAAAATACAAAAAACTAGCCGGGCGTGGTGGCGGGCGCCTGTAGTCCCAGCTACTCGGAGGCTGAGGCAGGAGAATGGCGTAAAACCCGGGAGGCGGAGCTTGCAGTGAGCCGAGATCGCGCCACTGCACTCCAGCCTGGGTGACACAGCGAGACTCTGTCTCAAAAAAAAAAAAAAAAAAAAAAAAAAAGCTGATCGGATGGGACCATTCCGCCTCCAGCTGGCCCATGTGCTGGCCCCCTCCTCCAGGCTGTCCCCTCCCCAGCACGTACAAGTTCTCTAACTCCCAGACCTGCCCTGTCCAGCTAAGAGCTACCAGCACCAATTTCCCACCCCAGGTCCCCCAGATCAAGAGTAGAGGCAGCACAGTCAGGTATGAGGGACACGGGGGCACTGTGCTGGAGGGGTGAGGAACAGGTGCCCCTGGCTAGGCACAGAGGGCAGTGCTGACAGCTCCACCCATCAGCGAGAACATTCACAGGCTGCCATGGCAGGGGGACCAGTGGGCAGGAAGCAGAGCAGGAGGCTGTGGCCGGCAGGCAGGTGGGGAACTGGGCTAGGCAGGATAGGGGCCACAGGGGACAGGAGAAGGACCAGTGGGATGTGGGGGTGGTTGTCAGCAGTCCCCCAGCTGGTAGCAGTGGGCCCATCCCTCCTCCTCAACCAGAAGGCCTGGACCTGGGGCAGAGCTGGCGGAGTCCCCTTGTTCCCCAATCATAGGCACGGGAAGTGCCAGCGGGCCGAGTGGGTCAGACCACCCCACACACGGGACAGTGACACAGGATGGCCCGTGCCCCCCAGGCTCCCAGTGTGCAGACGGACAGATGGTGGGCCTGGGCAGGCAGCAGGCCTGGCTGTGGAAGGCAGGTGGCCACTTGCCTCCTGCACCTCTCAGTTTCCTCACTGACCCCCAAAATCATACCAGAACCTCAGGGGCGCTGCAGCCCTCGGGGAAAGGAGAGTAGCTTCCAGCCTTCCCTGGACCCACCATTCTCGGGTTCCAGCCTCTGCCGCCTGCGCCCAGGCTGCCGCATCCCTCCTCCTGGGCATACCACACTCTGGCCACAATGGACTCCATTCAGCCCTGTGAATGAGCCCTCTCTGGCCATCGGCCTCTGCCCTCACTGCCCTCTGCCTGGAGTACACTCCCCTGCCCCTCCCCTCTGCCCAGAGTACACTCCCCTGCCCCCCATCTCTGCCTGGCTTCTTGGGAGTCACCCTCAGGTCTGGACTGGAAGCTGCTGCCTCCAGGAAGCCTTCCTGACTGCTACCTCCTCACAAATGTAGAGTGAATGGCTCCCGCTACCGACAGCTGCCCCTGAAAGCCCTCTGCCTGCCACGAGATGCTCATCACCTGGCACTTCTGTATGGCACCTGAGCAGGGACCATGCTACCTCGCTGTGGCCTGGGCAATGCTCGCCCAAGGGCTTCAGAGACTGAAGAGCACGTGTGCCTACACACAGCACAGCACAGCACAGCACATGCCCGACTGGCGGCTCTTGGCTAGTGCCAGGGCTTCCTGCCTCTGGGGGCGTCTGAAGCCGTGGTGACAGGGGCTCCACTCTGCACAGCAGGCGGGCAACCAGGCAGATTCCTCGGGGTGCCCGCTGTGGGCTGAGGCCCTGGAGGAGCAGCTCTGTGCCGGGCCAGCGTGTGTCCTTCCTTCTGCCCCACATCTCCTGACAGCCTCTCTTCCCATGTACCCTGACAGGAGGGTCAGGCCCCCTAGCTGGACTCCCCAGGTGGTGCAGGCTGGGAAGGGGTGGGGCGGGCTTCCAAGGGGTGGGGTGGGCTTCCTTGCTGAGAGGCAGGACAGGGTCCCCAGCCTTCACGAGGTCCAGGCCAGAGCCTCTGCTCAGAGGCAGGACCCAGTTGGCTCAGAATAAGGGAAGGCAGGCCGCTGTGTGACCTTGGGCCATTCTCCGCACTGTTCTGGGCGCCGGCCCCGTCCCCACACATGGTACCTCCCACTAGAGCCCATCATCTGTGGCCCGAGGCCCCCGTAGCCTGCTCTGCAGCTCTGTCACCCCCTCCCCCAGCCTAGCATTCCGCGCCATGTGATTTATGGCTCCTGTCCGCCTGGCGCAGTCTCCATCCTGGAGCCGGCCGGCGGCTATTCCGGGGAAACACACCAGAGCAGTGGGCCTCACGCTGGCCGGTGGGTCACAGCCAGAGGCGGGGGCAAGGGGGAAGCCGGTGGAACTGGGTCCTCCTGAGGCGGCCCCCCGCAAGGCCAGCACCACAGAGTGCAACCTGGGGAGGAACACAGCCCAGGGTCGGGGTGGAGGGATGGCATCTCAGGCCCTGAAACCAAGGGGAGCACTGCTTTGGGGCCAGGGTCTATGCTCCAGGAAACCTCTGAGGACCCAGGCATTCCCCGGGGCGAGGGTCCCCCAAGAGCATGGGAATCCAGGAAAGGGGGTTCACCTGGCGGCCTAGGATGGAGAGGGAGCCAGTGGGAAGTAGAGGCAGGGTGGGGTTGGCCTCTTTGTTCTGAGCCGCCAGCAGAGTCACACTGGTGTAGACAGGGGAGCTGGCTCTCCCGGAGATCAGGTGACCGGGGTCCCTGGGGGCTCAGGGCACAGCGATGCATTGTGGGATGGAGCTACTGGTCCCCGTGCAGGAAGGAAGACGGTCAGCCCCGTCCCCCGCCCTGGACCAAGCCTGCCCTGCTGCTCCCGGGAAAGCCCAGCCTCCCTGTGATGCAGATCCTTCCCAAGGCCCAAGCTTCAGAGATAGCCAGCTCTGCCCAAGAACCCGCCAAGGGGAACCGCTTCCCTCATGAGGCAGCAAAGGCCGGGAAAGTCAGGCCAAGGCCCCGAGTGCCCCAGGACAGGTGCTGCTGGGCCAACCTGCTCCCCAGGAGGCTGCCTCTAGACACCTCCTGCAAAAGAAAAAAGGTAGAGGCGGAGCCTCACTTGGAAGGCGGAGCCTTAGGCTGGAGGGAGGAGCCTCGGCTGCTTCAGGAACCACCGGCAGCATCTTCCTACCTCCTCCACCTCCTCCATCCTCACTTGGAAGCACAGCCCCTCCAACCTAACCTCACAAAGTCCCAGGGTTGTAGGTGGGAGGGGAATGGAGGCCAGTTCCCCTTCCCCACACCCCCATTGACCCTGCCTCCCGGGGCAGGGGAGGGGGGCCAGCTGGCACCCAGTGGACTGAAGCGTGCCAGAGAGGAGCCCTCAGGCCACAGCAGGGACCAGGCAGGTCGCTGGGTCAGCAGGGTGGGAGGGGGCGTGCAGAGGCTTCCTGAACCTCGCGGCCTTGGTCCCGTTCCCTGCTGCGTGTCCATGCCTGGTGCCCATCACGCACCCACCCAGCAGGCACTCCCACGTTTACTGCACTCCGACGTTTACTGCGCGACGTTTACTGCGAAGGAAAGAGTGAGGGCAGGGGAAGGGAGGCAGGAAGAAGAGACCTCCAGGCACACAGAGGACCTGGTAAAATCTGAGCGCCTTGGGGCACAGGTCCGCAAAAGGCCCAGGATGTTCCGCTCCCTAACTGGGAGTCCCAGAGGCTGTACACTCTTCCTGCCCTGGGGGCTGGGGCTGCGCTGGCCTCCCCGACCCTGAGCTCAGGGCTATGGTTGAGGCAGAGACTGGGCTTGATACCCACCTGCAGCCTGAATGGTCACGGCTGCTGGGAGGCGCCAGGGGCCTGTCCACACTGCTGCGGGCTGCGAGGTCGTGACACACAGTTCCTGCTCAGTCAGTGCTTGCAGACAAAGACATGAGAGAGAGAAGCACGGAGCCCAGCACCTCTCCTCTGCCTGGGATCACCCTGAGCCCCCAGCACGCCTGGTGCGCACAGCCTGGCAGTGACCTGAGCCCGCTGACCAAGGCCATACCTGCAGGCTGCCAGCGAGGAACCAGAGCCTAGGGGAAGGAGGGAAGGCCGATGCCACTGGCCAGCTCCCTTTCCATGGGGAATAAGCAGGGAAACCAGGTTCCCAGGTGACCCTGGTCACCCTTGGCCCTGGCAGTCACAGCCTGGTGCGGTCCCTGCCTGCGCCACAGAGTCTGTGCGCAATGGACTCCATGGGGGAGACGGCAAGGCGTGTCCGAGGCTGGGTCATAAAAAGGGCTCCAGCTCCCAGCTGGACGTACACGCTCGCTACCCTAGGGTGAGGGAGCCACCAGGCTGAGGAAGCCCAGGCAGCCCGTGCAGGAGGCCGCACAGTGAGGACCTGGGGACTACGGCCAAAAGCCGGTGAGGAGCTGTGGCCTGCCAGCCACCACATGAGGAAGTGGCTGCTCCAGCCCTGGTCAAGCCTCCGAATGAGGTGGCTCCAGCCTGACTGAGCCTCATGAGAGCCCCTGAGCCCCAATGCCCCGCAACGTGGCTTGCGGGTTCCTGAGAGCTAACAGACGCCCACTGCTCCATTTCAGGGTAACTTGTAACACACCAAGGGGTGACCAATATCAAAGATGGTCCCTTTGCTTCCAGGGAAGGACAGCCCTGGCCACTGTGGCCCCCGCCCTGGCCGCGCCAGAGAACATCACTCAAGGTCGGCTGCGTGGCTGGGCTGGACTGGGCGACAGGGCCTAGGTGAGGCCTCCCGTCGCAGCCTCCCAGAGGCGGCCACTCACCTAACTCGGTGGGCTTCAGCAGCTCGTCCAGCATATTAAAGAAGGGCAGCTTCACCAGACGGACTTCTGGCTTAAGGGTCTTGGCGGGCAACCGTCCCAGTCCGTTTAAGTACTTCCCGTAGAGCACGGGGTAGTCAATATTGGGGCCTGCCAGCGGAGTCCTGGGCACAGCGCTGGCCCGGTCGTAGGTGGAGTGCATGGTCAGGGGGTCCAGGGGCCGGTGTGGCTGTTGGGCAGGCTCCGAGTTCTTCTTGGCGTAGCGGGTCTCGTACAGCTCCTTGATTTTTTTGAACAACTCGGGGCTACAGTCAAACTGCACCAGCTGGAGGGCCCTGGTGACGAGCTCGTGCTTCAGTCCGCTCTTACTCCGGCCCACGAAACCCAGGAGCATCTGAAGGTCGGAGACTCGAAAACTCATCACCATGTTCTGAGGAGGAGCAAGCACACACAACTCAGAGGGCAGAGCTGCGAGGCAGGAGACTCCGCAAAGGCCAGGCCCTGAGGCGGGGGCCGTGAGAGACACCCACTCGCCAGGAAGCGCCACCCTTGGCTGGGGCTGGTGGAGTGCCCTGCCCCTACGGTGCCCCCTCCCAGCAAAGCCCTGCCCCCTCCCTCCTCCTCATCAAACTTTCCCCAGCATCGCCAACGCAGCAAAAGCGCCTCTGACTAGGCCCCCCTTCTATTTTAGGTTCTCTTTCCCTGTCTTCAGCCTGAAAGCATCCCCAGGGCAGGAACTGGGCATCGTGCTTTACTTGTAAACGGCCTCTGCCAGTGCCTTGCCAGCAAACACCAAGTGCCTCTCTGACCCTCAGTCTCTTCGTCGGGAGGATAATGACATAAAGCACTGGCTGGGCGGGCGCTCAACCCTTGTCAGCCACAGATATGTTTTCCCTTCGGTCTCGCCAACGGTAGCCACAGTTTACTTAGCACTAATCACCTGCCGGGAACCGAGTCGGTCACGTGATTATATATTTAACTCTGATCCTTAAAACACCCCTGCTAGGCTGGTGCGTGAACTCTGTCACAAAAGAGGAACTGTCGGCTCAGAGGTGGCAGTGCCAAGATCCAAACCCAGACCTGGCTCTGAAGCCAGGGGCGGTCCCTGCTGCCACACTATCCTCCGGACAGCAACACAGGGCCGGGCCTGTGGGGGCCTCCGAAACATCTACCCATCATTCCAGCAGGGTTTCGTCCCCTCGGCCCTATGGACGCTGGGGCCGTCCCGGGCACTGTGGGGTGCTAAACACCCACAGTTCATGACAACCAAATATATCTCCAGACATCGCCGTGAGTCCCTGGGGGACTGGTCCGAGGGGAAGGCAGCAGCCACAGGGGCTGTTGCGGGACCTGGGCCAAAGTGACGAATGAGGCTTGGCAGGACCTGGCCCTCATCCCCCCACAGGGCCTCTCCAGCGAAATCAAACCAAACAAGAGAGCCCAGCTGACCCTAGTGTTTGATGTGGGGTAGCCTGGCAGTGGCCTCCCCTCCATGAGGGGTAGGACCATGAACAGGAAAGAGGGCTCAACAGGCTGCAGAAGCCAGGTGTCCTCGAACGATGGGCTGGCAGGCTTTCAGGGCCACCCACCCTCAGCCCTGAAGCTGGCCTGGGATGAATGAGATGTGGTGGGAAAGAGAAACTTCCAGGAGGAATGGAGAAAAAGCTCAAGCGTCAAGGGTGGTAAGGAAAGCTGGCAGGCACCCGAAGAAACCGATAAATCATTCAAACTCCACTCGAAAGACCCTGAGGGTCAAAGCCAGAGGCAGTCCCACTGGAGTGTCTACACTGCGGCCTCTGTGCCAGGAAGCGCTGGGGTTTCCAGCTCCCGGCTGCCCCAGGGTGAGGCCAGGAGCCTAGCCGCCCACTTCAGCACCAAGGCTGCAGCAGCCGGGGCTACTGCAGGGTCCTCATCTGTCAACTCTGATTCCTTCCAGCTGTACCAGGCCGGGATCCTGCTGAAGACGGAGAGGCTGTCCCGGCTCAAAACGACAGGGACGCATGTGTGGGTGGCCCAGTCCTGCCCTAAGAGCCTCGGGAGCAGCCTCTTCCCATATCAGGGCTGCGCGGCCCCATGACTGTGAAGAACCAGGATGCCAGCGTCTGCTCCCTGCCAGGCACCAGCGAGGCCTGTGTCGCTAATTTCACAATGACCACACCCATGGTGTAGGTGAGGAAACCGAGGCTCACAGAGAGAAGTGGCTGGCCCAGAGCCTCCCTAGTACATGCATGGGACTGGCATCGGCCCCTCGGCCCTGGGCGCCCCAGAGTGTTCCCGTCCGCTGCCAGGGACCCTCACTCACCAGCACACTAGCTATGGGGACCTGCGTGGTCTGCTGGGCCTCAGAGTCAGTGATACTTTGAAAACAAAAATGCCTCACCTCCCTTGGCCTGACTTCCTACCTTGTGCAGAAAACAAAAAGGCTTGCGGACAAGATGTTTCTTCTGGAAGTGGCCCAAGGCCTTAGCAGGGAGAGACGATGTCATGTGGACACTTCACACTGGCAGCCTGGTCGAAGGCAGGTGGGCTCAGGAACCTGCTGACATCCTGGCACCCCGGGAGCCTCCGCCCCGCCCAGGCTGGACAGTGGAGCCCCAGCTCCCACTTCCCGGAGCACACCCCTTAGGCGGCCATATGTTCACGACTCAGATTTCCCGGCAGCTGCCACCTCAGAGGAGCCTGCCCTTGACACTGGAGGGAATGCGGGGGGGACAAGAATTCAGGAAGAAGCCCCAAATGCCCCAGGATCACTTCCTGCCCTGGCTCTGAGCTGACCTGCCTGCCGTCAGAGCTGTGTTTATAAACAGCGCCAGGCACCGGCAGCTTCCAGAGTTTCAACTTCAGGCTTGCCTGGAAGTCGCGTGGGGAGACATCAGCCGAAACACAGCAGCTGCACTGAACCTTTCCTCCAGCACAGGCCCCTCGGAGCACTGGGGGAAGCTCAGGAAGGCGCCTCTTTCCAGGAAAGTGGAGATGTGTGCTGCGGACTATTTCAGGGAGCTCACAGACACCCCTGCCCCAAACCTGCCTCCAAGTCTCAAGCTGAGAGTCTCAGATTTCAAAGTTCACCAACAAGCCCCCAACATTCATCCCTCCGAGCAGTCTGTGATGCACCCCCATAAGACAGAATCTGCAGCCATGAATATGACAGGCTGGGGAAGGTCCCTGTAAAAAAGGGGATGTTTCAATGACATTTAAGGTACTCGGAGGGGCAGCAATGGACTCAGGAAGAAAGAAGGCACCCTGGGGTCCAGGCCCCCTTGAATGGAAGCTCACAGTTTAGAGAACCTGAAAGAAGGATCAACTTGATTTAATTGAGGTGGGGGGACCCAGTCACCAGAGGGTCAAGGAAAGTTCATCAGATCATATTTCAAGGCCTGGATGGTACAAAAGAGTGCAGACCCTGCCCTCAGCCAGGGTGGGGGTGGGGAGTCCAGGGTCACAGCTCCAAGTCCAGAAAGGAGGTTACATTTCAGGACTCCAGGGCACTTCAAGCCCAGAGCCTGCCACCTCGGGTTTACAGAGTTCAGGCCTCCACATCTCCAGGGCGAGTCTCCACTTTTCAAAACTCTAGAGAGGGACAGAAGTGTGTGCGGGGCGGGGGAGAGGGCAGGGTTGGGAGGCGAAGAGAGGTGTATGCTGTAATCACAGAGCCCTGAGCGCTGTGTTTTCAGATCCCAGTGGGTAATGTGAGAGGACTGAGAAGAAAATATGTACAGGTCAGGACTGTGGGGAGGGAAGACGTGAAGGGGGATGGGGGAGGGAGAGGTCCCCTAACCTCCCTGGAAGCCGTGGTTTTGCGGGCACTTCTAAGGGTTTTAGACCCTCAGCTTTAGGCAGGCACCTACAAGAAGGTACATCCCCTGGAATGCGGATACTGGGAGCTCAATCCTAGGATTAAAATGGGTTCCAAGCTAGGAGATGGTATCTATGGAACATGGGACCTGCACAGGATCCGTAGTATAAAAGAGTAGCAGCAGAAGTTATTCTAAAGAGGCCAATCTTGGACCCAATGGGGACCCTCCAGAGATCAACATAAGAGAATAGGCAGAAAAACAGGAGACCTTAAAAACCAAAGCTGGGGTGCATAAAGATTCTGGGGGCTGTGCAGGGAGGGAGGGTGTCTGACCTAAAAAGTAGACTCGCTCAAGAACAGAAAATAAGAGAAGCAGCCAAGGTTTGAAGACAGTATCTGATGCTGCACAGGTGAGGTTTAGAGCCCCCTGAAACAGAATTAGTAGCCTTAGATTCTGTCCCAACGGGAATGAGGTAGGACCAAAGCACAGTTCAGGATTTAAGATTTAAAGAAAGGAGAATAAGGAAAGTCTTTGACGAAGAAAAGTGGTCAGGACTCTATCCTATGGGGAGGGAAAGGAGGGGCCCAGTCTTCCCCCAGCGCCCACTCCAGCGTGTGAGAGACGGTGTCGGGAAGGGGGCGGGGTTCTGGGACCAATGCAGGAGCTGAAGAGGGGCTCAAGCCCGAGCCTGGATTCCAGACCCCAAGAGGACGTGCTGTGTCTTGAAAGTGGTCTCAGGGCCCTGACTCCTCTACCTGGACGGTGGCAGGACACTCTCCGGGACTCAGGGGACCCTTCCAAGCCGGAGACTCGCAAACCCCAGTCTGGCCTGTTGGGCGGGGACGAGACCCAGATACCAGTCTTGGGAGCCCTGCGGGCGGGGAGGCGCAGACACTCCCCCCTACACACCAGCCAAAGAGCAAAGACCCCGACTCGGAACCAAGAGAGCAACGAGAAGCTCAACACGTCCCGTAGCCCGGGAGAACGGTGCCTCAACCGGGAGGCGCGGCCCTGGCCTGGCGCTTAGGGACCGGGACTCCAAGGGCTCGGGCTGGGTGGGGGGGACCCTGCCTGAAGCCGGGGGAGCGACCCCCGGAGCGAAGACCCGGGTGAGGCAGGAGGGCCCCGCCCCCGGCCTCCCCGCCCCCCGCCCTCACCCTGAGACCTGGGGTCGGGGTCTGGGGGCCGGGACGGCGAGCCGCGGGCCGGCCGCGCTGTGGGGCCCCGGACAGAAGGCGCAGACCTCAACCCGCGGCCCGGCCCCCGCCCTCTCGCCCACTTGCCCCGGCCGGTGCCGCCGCCGCTCACTCACTTTGGCCTCCACCAGCTCCGCCGCCATCTTGGCCACCAGCGTCCCCCGCGCCGGGAGCCCCCAGCCGTCGCGTCACGTGACCGCCCACCACTCGCGGGCGGGGCCGCCACCCGAGCCAATTAGCACCCGCGCGCGCTCCTCCCGCCGCCCGTGCGCGCTGTTGCGTCCTGCGCAGGCGCGCGCGGCCGCCGCCCGGGCCTCGGGCCAATCAGGTCTGCCCTACACCGGCCCCTTCCCCCCCACCCTTCTTCTCTCGCTCACGGCGACCACGCCCACCCCTGGCGGCGTCTGACTCCTTAAAGGGGTACGAGCCCTGCGCAGGTGGGGACGGTGCTGGGTTGCCTCTAGGGAGGGAGGGCGGGAGGGGGCGGTGGCAATGACAACAATGCGACCAGGTGCCGTGGCTTCCTGCGCGCTGCGGCCGCCAGGTGCGTGTCCAGACTCCCGGCGGCGTCGGGCAGGGAATGGTTGCTCCGCCGCAGCAGTCGCCAGTGCGTGCAGTGCGACGCCTTGCAGCGCCGCGTGGTGCACGCTCCACGGGCCCCGACGCCCCGTGCACTGCACATCCGGGTCCTGGTGTGCAGATGGGGCGTGGGCTCGGCACCCAGTTGGCTGGGGGCGCCAGGCGGAGAAAAGCGGGACACCTGCTCCCAAATTCTTCGGAGATCGGGCAGCCCTCACGTCTTTGCACCCTCCCATCCTGCCTCCTCACCCATGGGAAACCTTGGATCTGCACCAGCTGGGACCTCTCCTGCTCCAAAGCGCTCCTTGGTTGGCTTTGGAGCCAAGTGGCTTAGTGCCCGTAGAAGTGGAGTTCAAACTTCAGTAATGAAGTATTTTAGTGCATTTATTTTTTGTTTTTATTTTTGTAGAGACGAGAATCTCATTATGTTGTCCAGGCTGGTCTCGAATGTCTGGGTTTAAATGATCCTCCTGGCTGGACCTCCCAAAGTGCTGGGAATACAGGTATGAGTCACCACACCCGGCTAGTCCAACATTTTAAACATAGAAAAATCAATGCAAAAGAGTCCATGATGGATGAAATACCAAATTGTTATTTATTTATTTATTTTCGAGACAGAGTTTTACTCTTGTTGCCCAAGCTGGAGTGCAATGGCACGATCTCAGCTCACTGCAACCTCCATCTCCCGGATTCAAGGGATTGTCCTGCCTCAGCCTCCCAAGTAGCTGGGATTACAGGTGACTGCCACTACGCCCAGCTAATTTTTTTTTTTGGCCAGGCTGGTCTCCAACCCCTGACCTCAAGTGATCTGCCCGCTTCAACCTCCCAAAGTGCTGGGATTACAGGCATGAGCCATCATGCCTGGCCTCTTTTTTTTTTTTTTTTTTTGAGTCTTGCTCTGTCGCCCAGGCTGGAGTGCAGTGGAGCAATCTCCGGTCATTGCAACCTCTGCCTCCTGGGTTCAAGCGATTCCCCTGCCTCAACCTCCCTAGTAGCTGGGATTACAGGCGTGCACCACCGTACCCAGCTAATTTTTGTTTTGTTTTGTTTTTGAGATGGAGTCTCACTTTCACCAGGGTGGAGTGCAGTGGCGCAATCTCAGCTCACTGCATCCTCTGCCTCCCGGGTTCAAGTGATTCTCCTGCCTCAGCCTCCCGAGTAGCTGGGACTACAGATGGGCACCATCACACCCAGCTAACTTTTGTATTTTTAGTAGAGATGGAGTTTCGCTATGTTGGCCAGACTGGTCTACGAACTCCTGACCTCAGGTGAGCCACCTGCCTCGGCCTCCCAAAGTGCTGGGATTACAGGTGTTAGCCACCGCGCCCAGCCTGAAATACTAAAATTTGAAGTAAAGAGCCAGACATAGTGGTGTGCGCCTGTGGTCTCAGCTACTCAGGAGGCTGAGGCAGGAGGATCCCTTGAGCCCAGGAGTTCAAGGCTGCAGTGAGCTTTCATCATGTCACTGGGCGACAAAATTATCGGAGACGGTTGTTTTGGACTAAGCTCTTGCACTAGGCACCAACAGACTGGAATAAATAAAACACAGCTACTCACACTCAGATTCTAAGTCACCACGATAAAACTAAGTTGTTATCTGACCTTTGGGGAAATCAGGAGGGAGCCCTCTCAGCCAATTTTCTTTTCTTTTCTTTTCTTTTTTGGAGGAGCCTCGCATTTGTCGCCTAGGCTGGGATGCAAGGGCGCAATCTCGGCTCACTGGAACCTCTGCCTCCCAGGTTCAAGCGATTCTCCTGCCTCAGCCTCCCGAGTAGCTGGAATTATAGGTGCCTGCCACCACACCTGGCTAATCTTTTTGTATTTTTAGTAGAGATGGGTTTTCACCATGTTGGCCAGGCTGGTCACGAACTCCTGGCCTCAGATGATCCGCCCGCCTCAGCCTCCCAAATGCTGGGATTACAGGCGTGAGCCCCCACTGCCCGGCCAGTCAATTTTCCAAACAGGCCAGTTTCAGTCTTCAGTGGGCAATGCTCTGAAGTTCCCTCTGCTTAATTGCTTTAATCCTTATACAAAAAAAACTAGCCTGAAACAACCTAATGGTAACTAATGACTTAAGACATTCTTTGCTGTTGGGTTTTTGGTTGGTTGGTTTGTTTTTGAGATAGGGTTTCTGTTTCCCAGGTTGTCGTGCAGTGGTTTAATCATGGTTTACTGCAGCCTCAACTGCCCAGGCTCAGGTGATCCTCCTACCTCAGCCTCCTGAGTAGCTGGGACTACAGATGCACACCACCACACCTGGCTAATTTTTGTATTTTTTGTCGAGATGGGATTTTGACGAATTGCCCAGGCTGCTGTCGAACTCCTGAGCTCAAGGGATCCTCCCAAAGAACTGGGATTACAGACATGAGCCACCCGGCCCAGCCTGTTCTTTGCTTTTGCTCTCTACAACCCTTCTCTGCCTGTAGAGTCAACTTCCTCTGCCCAACTGATTGGAACAATTACCCTATTTTATGGAATGAAGTGTAGCAAATTGCAGTGAAGCCAGTTAATGTCCTTAAATGTGTTAAAATGTTGTCCATTGACAACAGAACCCAGCTCTGCCATTGCACGTATGAGTCTGACCTCACCTTCATTCCAGCCCTGCTGATTCTGCTGGGGATGGTTTTTTGTTTTTGTTTTTGTTTTGTTTTGTTTTGAGACGGAGTCTGGCTCTGTCGCCCAGGCTGGAGTGCAGTGGCCGGATCTCAGCTCACTGCAAGCTCCGCCTCCCGGGTTTACGCCATTCTCCTGCCTCAGCCTCCGGAGTAGCTGGGACTACAGGCGCCCGCCACCGCGCCCGGCTAGTTTTTTGTATTTTTAGTAGAGACGGGGTTTCACCGTGTTCGCCAGGATGGTCTCAATCTCCTGACCTTGTGATCCGCCCGTCTCGGCCTCCCAAAGTGCTGGGATTACAGGCTTGAGCCACCGCGCCCGGCCTGTTTTGTTTTTTTAGACAGGATCTTGCTGAGTCGCCCAGGCTGCAGTACAGTGGTGCGATCTCGGCTCACTGCAATGTCCGCCTCTCACATTTGAGCGATTCTCATGCTTCAGCCTCCCAAATAACTGGGATTACAGGCGTGTGCCACCACACCAGGCTAATTTTTGTAATGTTATTTTATTTTATTTTAATTTTCTTGAGACAGGGTCTCTCTCTGTCACTCAGGCTGGAGTGCAGTGGTGGGATGTTGGCTCACTTCAACCTCCACCTCTCAGGATCAAGAGATTCTCCTGCCTCAGCCTCCCAGGCAGTGGGGATTACAGGTGTGCACCACCACACCGGCTAACTTTTGGTATTTTTAGTAGAAACAAGGTTTGACCATGTTGGTCAGGCTGGTCTCGAACTCCTGACCTTCAGTGATCTGCTGGCCAGATCTTCAGCCTGGGTGACAGAGTCTCAAAAAAAAAAAAAAAAAAAATTAAAAAAAAAAAATACAACCATGTTGTGTTGTCAAAACCTGGGCGTTAATGTTAGTATAATGGAATCAACTCAAGTGCAGACATTATTTGGATTTCACCCGTTTTTACATGCACCTTCCTGTGTGTGTGTGTGTTTGGGTCTATGAATTTTTTATTTTTTTTTTCTTTTGAGACAGAGTCGCGCTCTGTTGCCCAGGCTGGAGTGCAGTGGTGTGATCTCGGCTCACTGCAACCTCCGCTTCCCAGGTTCAAGCAACTCTCGTGCCTCAGCCTCCCGAGTAGCTGCAATTACAGGTAGGCACCACCACACTCAGTTAATTTTTATAATTTTACTAGAGAACGGGGTTTTGCCATGTTGCCCAGGCTGGTCTTGAAGTCCTGACCTTAAGTGATCCACCTGCCTCAATCTCTCAAAGGGCTGGGATTACAGGCATGAGACAGTGTGCCTGGCAGTTCTGTGAAATTTTGTCTCACTTGTAGATTCCTGCAACCCTTGTGGTCTGAAGGTTCTGTGTAATCATGGTACTGTGTCTGTGTTTTAAAATATGTTTTGGGCTGGGTGCCTGGTTCAAACCTGTAATCCCAGCCCTCTGGGAGGCTGAGGGAGGAGGATCACTTAAGCCCAGGAGTTTGGGACCAGCCAGGAAACGTAACACAAGATCCCCATTTCTACAAAAAAATTTATTTTATTTTATTTTTATTCTTTATTTTTTTGCG